TACGAAAAAAAATTTAAAAAAAATGTACTATTGGTAGCTTTTAAAGTTGAAAAGAAAAAAAAATTGAAGAGAAATTTGCCCTCGAGATCACAAATTTAGATCTTTTGAAAATTCTAGCGTTGTTTTGTCTATACCTTGATATCTGCTGGGACTATTTTTAGATTGGCTTAAAACGAAAGACATACCATTGAGACTGGCCTATTTCGTTGACATTTGGAAAAAAAAGTAAAAGAAACACCGAGTACTCGTAACACTTTCAAAAACTTCCGCCTCAACTATTATGCATCCACGTAACGTATTATAAACACGCCCCACACACTCTCCTCTATACACAATCCAAACAAAAAAAGTCGCGTTTCGCAAAAAACAAGCGACACAATATCTATCGCGAGTTGCAACTGAATTACACGTTGCCGAAGGCGCGGGTATACATGATATCCCCCCGGGAGTCGTAACTCACTCGAGCTCTCTTTGGTTTCTCATTACGCGACTCCATAAACACTTTTCTCGAGCCATGTGATTTTTAAAACGAACCTTTTTCCTCTTTTTTTTTCGTTGATGTGGGGTTTTCACCGAGTTACATCGCGCCTCCGACTGTGTCATTATGCTCGTCGCTGTAGAGGTTTTCGGTACAGGAAGCGAAATCAAGACTCTTCCTTCGCTGTTTGACCAAAGAAAAAAGAAGCGCTGCTTGTGATTCTTCAACTGCAAGTGTCGTAACAGGTTCATACGTGATTTCTTTTAAATTTTATGCTATACAAGTTACATCGACAACGAGTGAAACAACCAAAAGTAAATGAGCACAACAAACGCTGTGGAAAAATGTATTTCCAGTCGACTTTCTTTCGCGCCTCACACCTCAAAATCCTCTTCCTCGGTAACGGTATACCCGCGCTACTGACACGCCAAACCGACCAATAGAGCCAAAGGAAAAAAAAAAAAAAAAAAACAATGCAGCCTAGTTATTACCGTACTAGCTTTCACTCGGTGACAACTCGTCGGAATCAAACCTCACCTCGTCGTCGAGGATCCATAACTTTGTAATCAACATCCTCTCTGTGCTTTTCCATACCCCCCCCCCAACCCTTTTATCCATGCATGTATTCTTCCACAGTGGATAAAATAGAAAGCTCTAGCCTTAAAAGCTTTTCTCTCTTCCCTCCTTTATTCTTCTTCCTCCTGACGCCCATTATGAAACTCGTCATTGTTTCCGTGAAAAACAAAGGGTAAATTTGTACACGCGTACACGTATATGCACATAGTGTGGGCGCAGTCCTCCTCCAGGGGGCGACCCACGCCTCAGGAAATTCCTGGCTCTGAATATATACCTATGAGTCGTCGGGTCTCTGCGTTTCACGTACATCCATACCACTGCGAAAAATCGTGCAGGTGTACCTTATCAATGTGCCTTTTATTTTTACTTACGGAATTCAAAGGCTAATGGGTCACTGAGCTGTTTGTTCACTGGATTCCTTTGAATGAAATGTTAATGACAACGCTGTGAGATTTATGTGTCGCGAGTCGCTGGAGTGGGGAATAAATTTCAACAAACATGGGAAATTGTTGCTGAATGAATAATAACAGAACCAACGACAAAAAAACCGCCTACCCTCGACAAGAAGGCAGAAGTTGGCTCTTATTAGCAAAAGTGACGATCCCGCATGACTCACTTGTTGTTGTTGTCTATGTATTTTATGATGTGCCACATTAAACATCAATGGGTGTGTTTTAACACTTGGGCAATGGACAAACGCGGTTCAGCTGAGACGATGAGTTGGCGGTTTTCATCAATATTATCTTTTATGACCTGCATCTCACTTATGGTATCCATTGCGTTGCACTACCATTTTTACGACTCATTGATTTATTGTATTTAGTATTTTGAGGTTGCTATTTTTAATATACGTAATTCATCGACAAATTGCATAATCAACTTGGTAATGTTCAAGATTATTCGTTACTTTTCAAGTTTATTCGTATGGGCTTACGGTAACGGAAGACATAAAAAATAAAAAAAAAATAAATAAAACACGTTTCCCAAGTAATTTTCGTCCTCGAGGAAAAAAAACTTAATAAACTACTCTCGCGACAAGAAGCAGCTGGCATCCGATAAGAGAGCGTCTTTCGATAAAAGGGGCTCTCCCCGCGGATCGGCAAAAATGTCATCATCAGCCTCCCAAGGCGAAATTAAAATGAAAATACCTGTCTGCGAATGCACGGCTACTTTCGATCGGCAAACTTCTACCTCGAAACGAAGAAGGTGATCGTATATTGCTCGTGGACGGAAAAAAAGTTGAGAAGAAATGAAGTATAGGGAAAAGATATTCCGCTAATGGCATGGAAATGGCGCTGGCACTGCAAAGAAAGTACCTTGTGGGAGACATCGGAATGCAATCGTCGTTGTCATTGGATGTATTTGAGAGACTGAGAAGTTACTACTATTTCTAATGGGGTTTTTTGTGCTCTTATACCTGCTTCTTTTCTTTTATTTTTTTTTTTTCATTCTCTATGTTGGAGTTTCACGTTGCAACTCTGGATTACTCTTTAACTTTAGAACAGTTAGTTGGTTCGAATTTTACGTGAAGAGATATTGTGAAAAAATAATTAACCATTCGGTGTTAGTTTATTTTCGGTCTTAGTTTAGAAACGTTTGCATTTAAAAAATGTGGTTTTTAAAAAAAGTTGATTGCAAACATTTTTTTTTTTTAATTGCAGAGTGTTTTTCATAATTTATACTTTAAAAAAAAAAAAATCACAACTTGCGTGTGGTGGATTTATAGAAGTGAAGTAGGTATCACACATGCCAAGTTTTTTTTTTTTTTTCGATAGTCTGTGATTGTAGTTACAATAATAAAAAATCCACTATTATACAGTCACATTTATTTCTATTTTCTTCTTGAATGTAAATTATTCTTTTCCTGTATAATTTTTATTTCTTGACATCACATTCAAAATGAGAAAAAATGGTATTATATTTTAATATTGTTATTATTATTGTTATTTTATAATAATGATAATAATAATTATTATGATAATTATATTAATGATGGGATAATGATAATAATGATAATAATGATGACATGGATGATTATGANAGAAAAAAGTTCAGTTATATGTTTGGCTAATTTTTGATTGTAGCGTTTGAAAATTCATGATCTTTTTGCATATATTGAACATTAAAAAAATTTTATTATCACGTAAGTAAACTTTAATTATTACTTTTTCAGTCCATGAATACTTTTGGTGATTATATTTACTTTTTCAAATTATTAGTAACTCGAAAAATCTAAATCTCAGCAAAGATGTCGGATTAAAAAGAAAAAAAAGACAAACGAAGTTAACTCTTGTCGCTAAAAATTTTCGGAGGCAATATCACGAAACTTCTGCCTATATACTCTGCTTTTGTGGCTTATCTCGTTGCCGCCGTAGGTCGCATTCTCGGAGCTCCTTTCTTTTTTCCATCGCTCTCTCTATGTATATACTTACGCTCGCCTGATGCCTACTGCGCGCCGGCCGGGCGATTTTTACAACTCTTGTCTCCCTCGTCGCTGCGCAGCGGCAGTAATGCGTCACCTTTCCCTCTCGTGTTAACTTTCGCTGAGCAGAATCGCAAAGTTTTGCAATTTGTAATTTAGGATTTTTTTTTTTTTTCGCTTTTTTATATCGAAGAGACGACTGCAGCGATGTTTTCGAAATCCTTGAGCTTCGAGGAATCGGATCCTTTTTTACTCTTTTCTGTACCATGGATAGGGTGAATAATAAAATGTTGAGATACGTTATAAGATACCTTACGATCGTCTTGATGCGTTTTGAAGGATTTTCTTTGCATTGCGTATTACGGATGTTTGAAAAATTGCTCGATGAATGATTATGTTTTATTTTACACTGAGATTTTAATGATTTTTAAATAAAATAAAAACTTGATTGTATTTATCCAAAATGATTTTTGAATAATATTAAAACATCGATTTTTGAATCAAATTATTCAGATTTTTGGTTGTTGGTACTAAATTTTGTAACACATTATTATTATTAACATTAAAAAAAATTTTCAACGAGGAAAAGGAAATAAATAATGATAACAGTGATGGTGTTAAATTTAAAAAAGTCTTTTATTATAGATTTTGTTCTAGAACAGTATAAACTGCTCGCGTATTGTAATGTACACACTGGTGGTATTTATACAAAATTGTATGGTTTTAAGGAAAAGAAACAAATTTCACGAGAGCAGTAGAAAAAAGTTCAGTCATAAAGTGGGGTAGGAAGACGATGGTACCATCAAGCATTGGGAGGGAAAGGAGGTATTTTATAAAAAAAAGTGTGAACAAAAAAAAAGGAATTTGAAGGAGTAAAGGAAATAAACGCGATGGATTGAAAAAAAAAGAAATAGTAAATACGCATCAATAATAATAATATTAACAGAGTCTCACTTGCGGACATTTTCTCAACTTGCACACTAGTCCGCCATTTTGTTCAACATCTTCGGCTCTTGCTCGGCTCTCTACTCACATTTAAATAAATTTGATTATCAAAAGGGATCGAAAAATAAAAAATTACACAATCAACGAGACATATAATTCGGATCCTTTGAATCCGCAAAGAAAACCTGGATCTTTATCCTGGTAGAAACGTTACTACATAAACTGGCTAAAAACTTGCCAACATGTTATAAGCCCATTTACTCATGTACGTTAACGAGTTTCTAGCCAGCTAATGTAGTAATTTTCTAGCAGGGTAAAAAAAAATAATAATTAGTCTTCCGTCTCGTTTATCTGGTGAACTTTAATGTCGAAAAAAGATCAGGAGTCACATCGATTTCGCGACATAATGTAATAGTATAATAATACAAAATCATAATCATTTCTAACGTGGGGTTGCGCGCGAGATCGAAGGAGGGAAGTGGTTCAATGTCTCCCCCTGAGTTACGTGTCATCGATGCTTCTACCTCGACTCAAACGAAGGACGAGTATTTTGCAGGTGTTCGAGGCGTCGATGATTATGGTAATTCGTGTTTATTGGGGTTTCTGGGATTTAATAATAACCATCGCCAGTCGGATCATTGATCCAAGGGTAGTTGTTGGGACAGCGCACGCAGGTCTGGAGGTTGATCGTTTCCCCGGGAACCTCCTTGGAGGTCAGCTTACAGGAATGAGGCACCCAACAGGCTGGTGGTCCTTCGACGGCACACTTCTCCCTCCAGGGCTCAAAGTTCTTGGACTCGGTAATGGTGCGTGGATTCTGGATCCATTGGATCACCTGTGTCATCGTCACGAAGTACACGTCACTGTGGTCCTTGAGAGTCTCATCGATCCAATAGAGGAACGCGTCCAAGAAATCGGGATTGTTCTTCAGCCAAGCTGCGTGGAAGTAGAGACCAAGAGGAGCTCGATTTTGCTCGTAGTGTCTCTTGAAGTTGTAGTTTAGGAAGCTGTAGAATTGGTCGCCGGTTAGGATGTTCGAGCACGAGTCAACCATAGCACAGCCGGGCAGGTACTCGTCGTTTTCCGGGTCCTCGCGACGGTCCAGTTCGTTCATCACCATCTCCCAAACAGCGTGTGACCTGCGAGGATAAGTTCATGTTCGACCTTGCTTTCAAGATAATCCCCGATTCATGTGATGTTTGCAACTCCCAAAAGTCATCATTATAACATATCATTTCATACGTGCATGGTAAAATAAAAGTGGTTACTACATTTTTATTCATCATAAAATTGTATGTTGTAACGCTTCATAATCATCAGTCAACGTAAGCTTCATATTGACGAAGGGCAGAGCCGTGTAAGACGCGGCTGTAGTGTTTGATCAATTCCAACTCACCTGGTCGGGCATTTCTGGAGGTTGCCGTGGCAGCGGTGGGGCATCCTGAAGTACATGGTGTAGGGCCACAGAGGCAGGTCGTTCAGAGGAGCGGTGATGGTCGAGTCGTAGAGGAAGGCCTGCTCTTCCATCATCGTGAACTGATTGTTGCCACCCACCCGGAGATACGGGGCGCGCACACCCACGACACTGTTGTCGGTCAGATTGGCGTACTTTTCGGTGATGATCCTCATGCCGGCCATCTCTTTGGCCCAGTCATCCACAGTGGCCTCGGACCAGAATCTTTCGTCGTCGTTGTGCCTGTTTGTCAGAAAACCCAAAGCACACGTTTCTTTTTTTTTCCTGGGTCTACTTTTACGTGACGATAAAAACGCGTTGTTGCCCAGCGGGCACTCGAGAGAAAGTTTAGCGAGGAGGATTAAATGGCGGTTCGATGATGTATTCGTATACGATGCTGTGTTTACCACGCGACTTTCATTCTAGGAGCCTCACCTTGCATACATTACGTTGGCTCGGAGGGTGCGGGCGGAGAGGATTAGGTGTGGCATCGATTTATTCGCAAATGATTGATGGGAGGAGAGTCACAGGTTGGGCAACTGTCGTTGTTCACACTTTTCTTGAGTCTCATTTGCATGACTACAAACCTTACACTCTATAGTTGTCTAACGCAACCATTCAACAATAATTAGCAGATACCCCCATAGAAGTTGTTTAGAATGAAGAAATGAAATAGAATAGAAAAAAAACAAAGACAAAATTACTCACGAAATCGAGTGCACGGCAATCTCATGGCCCTTCCTATGCATCTCCTGGACGGCCGAGTAGTTGGTGTACTTGTGCGAGACAAAGAAGGTTGCCTTGATGTCACAGCCGTTGGGGTTCTTGCGCTTGCCGTTGAAGATCTCCTTGTAAAGGCCAATGTTATTGTTGTTGATGGCGTCATCGAAGGTAATGGTGATCATCTGGGGTACGTCTTTGGTGGGCAGGTCGCCGGGAATGGTCGTGCCGTCCTCCGAGCAGAAGCAATCAGGAAGAACGCAGGTGGCTGGATCGCAGGCAGGGGCGCGGTTCGGGTCGTTGTCCATGTCTGTGGATATGAACGGACCGTGGTATCGTCAGGTGGTACAGGAGTCGCGGGATGAGGGGTCTTTGGATTCATGTATGAGGAAGGTACTAACCGCAAACGTTCTCGTCCGATCCATCGTTACAATCCTTCTCCCCATTACAGAAGAGTCCTCTCTCGATGCAGGTACCATCGCCACAGGCTAACGAGCCGTCGGGGCACAGGGGCTCCTCGGTGAAGAGCTGGGGCTTGATCTTGCGCTCCTTGCTCTTGAGTTTGCAATTCTTGACCGCATCTCTCCAGTCGCAGGTCTGCTTTTCGATGTCGAAGTAGAGACCGGCCGGGCAACGGATGGCCTGTAGACCCGAACTTGTACACTGGATCACGTCGCGGCAGCCGTCACCATCGCCGCCTACGAGCCTGAACCACTCCCCGGCGTCCTTATTGTTGCAGATTTCGTTCTCGTACGACTTGTCGTCCTTCTTGTCCTCCTGTCGCTTCACTCGATTACTACTACTCGATTTCGCTTCTGTGAACAAGTTTTTGGGATTTTCCCTCATTTTTATGGTGTCTTTTGTAAAGATATGTTCACAGAAAGGTATTCTTTGGGAATAACGTTTTAAAAGTATTTCAATTACGAAAAGTGACACTTATTCTAAGGAAATTTATTTTTTTACGCGTATTGTTGTTGTTTTAAATTAAATTCAGTTTCACAACGAATTCCATCACTGTAGCTTATTACAAAAACGTCATCCATCTATTTGCGGTTATAAGTTTACGATAAAGTTGTAATCATTTTTCAAAAACAATATTTTATTTTTCAAAAACAATATTTTATTAGTTGTTATTGATTTTTTCATCGCTTTTACAAACAGAATATTAGGCTCGGGTACATTCATGTTTCTCATGATGCATTTTGACGATTAAAACAATAAGTAAATAAATTTTAAGCCTCTGATCCACACGACAAGAGTCAATGAACAAGGAACTAACAGCTTTGACCATTGGTCGGAGCGAGCGAGTCTCGCGTAAGACAAGGAAATGCACAGTGTATAGATAACTCGTTCTACCTGTATACACCGGCAAAACCAACGAGATGGTGAGTAAAACCCGTTGTTCGAAGGAAAAAGAAAGTTAAACATCGAAGAGGAGCCACACAACAATTTCCGTCCTTACATCTACATATTACACACCGAGCACGTCGCTTTCGCAAACATATTTAACCGGAGGAGGAGGAGAAGCCCTTCTTCGATTTCAATTTAATTCGAAGCCACTTCACGCTCTTTCTCCCGCGTCTTTGTTTTAATACAAAAGTGTAGTGTCTATAGCGTGTGTAGTCGATCGACGGGGAAAGTTGTTTCTCGTGCGTAGACACATTGCAACGAGATACGCGTGGACCATAAGCCGAGTGACGTCACCATTGCCATCTGGGACACATACGTGTACACACACGCACACACGAGCATACAACACCAGCGTTTATCGCCGCAGATTCGATAAATATACACACGTATACAGCTTCCAGTGGTCTCGCGCTGCGGCTTTCACGCTCTAGACTCTCTTATGCAACTTGTCTCTCTTTTACTCCCGGCCAACCGGTCGATCGACAGACTCTCTGACATGCACACACACATACTACCATGGCTCTCTCGATACCTTTGTGGTTCCATATAGGTAAAAAAATTTAATTTTTATACGCGTATGGGTGAGTGGATCGATGTGATAGATAACCATTGTTTTTTCAGCTCATCGGGTCATGCGTTATGACGCTGCCGTTTTGTAAATCATTTCGAGGGGTTGATGTACAACAGATTAGACTTTTGTTTCAAGTGTCGCTTGATTTATCGAGGTAATAAAGTCTTACGCGGACGTGGTTTGACTTAAGGGCGATTCGTTTCATTATTTTTATCGTAATTTTGTGCCGGTGTTTGATGAATTATTATAAAATTAATGTTGGTCGCAGCGATCGGTGATAATGGATGATTTATATGCATGGTGTTGAATTCTCGACGAACACGTTTATTGCGTAATTTGATTTATTGACACGTTATTTTTTTTTACTTGCAAGTATCAAAAGTTTCGAGCTATCCGATAATTGAGGTGCGTGAAATTACGAAAGACTTTTTAAATTGAAAGTTAAGAGATACAAGCATATACGATTATTTAAAGTTATTGTTAACGTTAATTTTTTGGTGCAACAGGTTTACTTGTCAGATGTACATATCTGGAGGAACTTGTATAGCCGTTAGATTCTTGAATTATTAATAAGTTGATGTGGATATGATGCTGGCCAGGAAAGCGATGATTTCTTAATCAAAGTGAAAACACTTTCTTCTTCTTTTTTCTCGTTAAGAAGAACTTTTCATTTCAAGGAATTTAGAAAGAACTTGAGCGGAGTGTGTCCATTCGAAATTTAAGTTTTGTATACCAAACATTATATTCTAAGAAATTTTCATAGAAACCGTTTGTTTTTAGATTCATGAAAGTGGTACACCCTTTTTTTAATTTTATTTTTATTACATTGTTCACGACAAATAAAAATAAACATTTCAATTAAAAATGTAGTGATTGGTTTATTTATTAAACGATGATTTATTGATCCTACGTGGGTAACAAAGAATTTTATAATTGGTTCATGAGAAACCATGAAAAAGCAAGTACAACCAAATTCATTTCACGTACAATGTGATTAGTCAGTGAATTTTTTACGAATAAAGTGCTGATTGTCTTGCGTGTCTCAATCACAGGCATAAGTATACGTACACACTCAACGTGATTTCTTTAATTTTAATCGATTTTTAGGATCGCTTCTTCTTTCGCTGTATACATCGACGTCATTTTTATTGCGTTATTTCACATGCATACGCATACACACTAGACGCGATTCTCTATCTAATCGCAGAATTGAAAACGGTGAAGTAACTACTGTCTGTGGTTTCCGACTACAACGATCGCAACGGAGAAATACCTCGCACTTGTTCAGCTTGCACTTAAAATCGTTGTACAAGTATTTTATCTCGATACAAAATGCTTCAGCTACTTTACTCTCATAAATTATTGTTTTTTCTCTTTTTTTTATTATTATTATTATTTTTTTTTTCATAAACTCTAATAACTACTACGATAGAACTTGTAATAAACAATTGCAATTGGTTGGAAAAAATTTGTTTAAAGATCTTTGAAGTTGTTCACTTCGCAAGCAATACTTTAACAGTTGGCGTAATCCTCCCCGACGCTTATCAGAGTAGCAGATGAGGTCTCGAACAGATTTCAAGAACCTTATCCAACCGATTGAGTTAACGAACCCGAGACGATGCATCTTCGTTTCCCATAATTGTAGGATTATAAAAAATTACTTTTGCGATGCCATGTAAACGAAAGCTGTGCACTAAATGCGGGAAAAACAATTCAATATCTCACGATTTCGCGAATACTTGAAAAAAAAAAAAAAAAAAAAAAAACATCTCGATCCACAAGAGACATCGCGTTTCATCATTCGTGGGCTTACATAAGCCCATCGAACCGCAATCCACCCTTTTATCGGTTCCCCACCGTAACGTAATCATTTACAATGGACCCGGACTCCTTATCTCTACCTCCTCCAGTTCAGCCGAATCAAGCCACGGAAATCTTACCAAGAAAACCCATTGCGATTGCGTGCAGCCGGCGCGGATAAATAATCGCACATTATATATATATACCTGTGCGCGGTGTGTATCGCGTTAAAATCTAACGTGCAGACGTGTAATATACTCCGCTTCCACCGAACGACCGCAGAAGCGATGGAAAGTTGGAAACGGCGGCCGAGCCATGGTTTCTCGATTCGTGTGTGCGTGGCTTTATGCTTATTAATTTCGAGATTTCGTAACTTTAACTGTACCCGTACACCTGGCATGGATGTAATGGTCCACTTAAAAATCCACGGGACGGGAGATCCGAGGAAAGAGATTGGACGCGCGACTTTCGGAATCAATTAACTGCATCGAGTATGTTGGTTTTTTTCAATTTCGTCATTTAAATTCGGTTGCCCAACACGAGGGAAATTCTGAGTTATAACTAATTTTTTATGGTGTGTGGCTAATAAACCATAGTAGGTAGCATCAACACGCGCTCGGGGAGTGTCGAAAGAAGCTACGCGTCACCGTAGGTAAAATGGTCGTCATCTCGACTTTCGATGCATCAGGGGAATCGGCAATGATTTCATTTTTCTGTTTATTCTTGGGAGTGTGAAAAATAAGAATAAAAAANATTATTGTGTTTATGACTTTCATAAAAATAAATGGAAAGAAAATGTTGAAACATCATGAGCATCATACTGTTTTAATTATTTTTTTTTATCTATATGTAATTTTTGTATGATAAGTGATAGACGTTACTAATAATTATCATAACCAGCTTAATACCAAGTGTGCCTTATTAATTAATTTGTAAATGTGTTTTTATGCTTTTATAATCTATGTGGAAGCAACTATCTATAAATTTATTTACTAACCACCTATTAATAACGACCAAATTCTAGAAACTTTTTGTTCCTTTACTGTAAACCATTTATTTTTCGAAGAACTGTCGATTGAATGATTGATACAATGTTTATTGAGTTCCTTGACAACTTTGAAAAAATTATTTAAAAAATATTTTGACAGATTAGCTGAAATACATATTGAATGTATGCTATAGTTTACTATTAAATCAAATCAGATATTTTTCTTACTATGGATGCAACGTCTTGGTGCCGTACAGACGAACTTTGCGGCCACGGGCAGAAAAGTATTTTCCGGCTTACCTATAGGCCCAAAGTGATCAGCAAAGTGTAAAGTGTGCCCTCGCAAAAAAAGTCATTCGCACCTTGGACACAAGCATACAATCTCACCCTTTGAGCAAGTGTTTTTTACTTAGCACCCATGATACGAAAACTACTGTTTTTTAGTGTGTATGTGTACTAAAAGCAAATCTTTTGCTGTTAGCATAAACATCAAATTTTTTTGATTAGTTATTTGTGTAAAGGTAGCAATCATTACGATCATTAGTTTCTAAATGAATTTATTAGAATTATGCATTTTCTGATCAAATTATTAATAACTGCGTATAAAACAAAAAAATAAATTATATTACTAGCAATCATCCTCGATTATTTAAAATGAAAATTCTATGCACTTTCTAGAAAGTTTGTTAAGAGCTTGTTTTCGATACGAAAAATAAACACTTTAAGAGTAATATTAATTTTGCTTGAAGAATGTTTTGTTGGACTTGATAAGAATTATGTTACGCTCATTTTGTTAAATAACAAGTACAAATGAATTCCAAAACAATACAGCAAATAATTAATCGCCTTTGTTTGAATTGAATAGGTACATTTGTACATACATGTAGCTCGCATTATGGATAACACTTGTCAACTGAGGGTATATAAAAAAAAAAATTATAAAGGATACCAAAGACAGGGACTTACCGGCACAGGCAAGCACGAGTGCGAGCGCGCATAGCAGCACCACCAGCTCGCGCCCCATCTTCGTCTCGGCAGGCTCCCTTGTCTCCCAATTGTCTCCGGTTCCTCTGATTTTCTCTCCTCTTGTGAATGGTGTCCTTCAATTCCACGTATATTCCACCCTCGCTGGAGAGGGTAAGGGAACAAGGGAGAGGAGAGGGCGAAAAGACGCCCAGCGCACTGGTACGACGACTATGGACCTGTACCGTTTTCGGCCCGATCTGTGCTTACGGTATATATGTCCCCTGTTTGCGTGATGCGCCTCCTTATCGTTTCGCTGTCTATTGTCCACGATTGTCCTGTTTGAAGCGCACGACGATGCTTATTTTATGTGTTTGTATGGGTTATTGCACGGGCCGTCGCGGACCTTAATTCGGATGTCGAAGGTACCGCTTTGCAAAGACTGGCCGGGGCCCGCTACTTGCCGGCCACTTATATTTCCACCACCACCACCACCATCCGAAGGATACGAAGTCTCCTGCCCGTAGCCGCGTCTCTCCCCCTCTACGTGAGCCTCCTCTCTTTCTCGCGATTACACTATACTCGCGGCTCTTGGGTCCCACTCCGCAAAAGCCTCTCTCCAGTGTAGCTGTTCACCATCAGCGACGGCTCGAAAAGTCAGCGCGTACGTGCATGCATGTCAAGCCTTACGCTCACCCATACAACCTGACTGTGATGTACAGCTGCCGATGATGCTGAAGGCTTTTTTCTACCTGTACGATATATTCTCAGAACAATGCAGTGAAGAGATAGGTAGGTGTCTATGGTGTTGTTCATCCTGCACCACTGGGCCGTTGGAGGATTCATTGATTTATTTGTTTGTTTATTTACTGAGCCAATTTTTATTTTCAAAACGTCACGTTCTTCATGGGGGATTGTTTGCTGAAAATCTTTATCGATCGGTTGATTTTTTTTGTTTTTTTTTTTATCAAATTAGTCGTGACTTTCGAGATTTCATCGGATCCATGACAGGGGATGCCATTTGTTTATTGTAATTTAAATGAAAGCTTACACTGTCCTGATTGCCGTAGAAACGTGTAGTTCTACTACGCCGGTATTTAATCAGTATAAAAAGAGGGGTGGATCGTTGGTGCACTGCAACGAAACTCGAGACCGTTATTATGTCACACGATATTGGCGGCTATATAACGGCTACCGCGGAACAATGAAAATTTCCGGACGCGTATGAGTCTATCGACTCTGTCATTCATTTGTTGGATAATATTGTACAGTATAGTGTCTCTTTTATAGGAAAAATGGTATTCACCTAAAAATGGTGTCCTCGGTAGGAAAAATAGTATTTGCCACATAAGCTCCAACCCACCGGGACAACCTTACGGACCCTCGGGCCGCAAAATAGCCCCAGAAGCGATGGCGCTTATCCGACGAAAACTACCATTATTTTTAAGTTTCACAGTTTCTTATTCTCTTTCTATCTTTTTTTCTTTTTTTTCGGTTGAAGAATTTCTACTTTTCTTTACCATTTATTGTAACTTATTGTCCCTTTATCTTTCCCATCTTTCTACTTATTTGTCGCCTGGAATATCATTGTTTACCTATATTTACCACTCTTTCTAATAAATTTAGCCTCAAGACTCAAATTTCGGCCGCAATAGAGGCTGCGATCGTCTAACTTAAAGATAATTAGATTCCAGTGATAATTGCACGGCAACTCGTATATTTCATACAGCAAAACCGCCCAAAATCATCCGCGCTCACACGTGCCAGCTCGCACACGCCTGGAATTTCATAACTAACCCCTATATGTGTTGTGCAACGTGACTCGCGGAAGTTGTTGCATTTAATGAAGCAATTGCTCATTATTTAATGATGATTAAAAAATTTGGGATCATCAAAGGTATTTAAAAATAATTTTTTTTTCAAACATCTTTCATTCCACATTGACGGATCATTTTGCGACTCAAGTGTATTTTATAACGTGTACGTCCAGTAAGCTGCTATAACAACGCGTGATAGGCATTTTTGTAAATATAGTTTATACACCTCCGAGTGAGAAAATTATGTCAGGAATAACGTGTGAAAGAGCTCACAAGTTAGAATCAGGTATTAGTAGAAAAAGAAAATAATGAAACAATAATAAAAAGCAATGAAAAAATTATACATAAACGAATCCCAACATCAACGATAAACGATGACACTTGCCGATACGTTTGATGAGATTCGCACGAAGTTGATGCGAAAAAGCACACGGCATACATATAAACGCATAACAATTGTGATGCACGCGCGTGGTACAGAGTTGCATAATTGATCCCTCGTTACCGAGCGAATCATCATTGTTTAGCGAAATTCACGCTCGCAGAGGCGACACCACCTCTTCCACTGTTGCATTGTGACGTAAGGCGTGGCGATTTCACTTTTTTTTCGTGTCATTTCAATTAAAAATTCGCTCACCCACGTATCCAGCGTATTACGAGCTGTTTATGCAATAACACGTGAAGAGAGCAGCACGTGTCATCACCATCATCATTGCTTTTTACAGCGTTACAAGTTGTCCTCGTTATTGCCATATAGCCCCGCAGGGAAGGAAAGATCCACATTTCGTAAATTGGTGTTCTCGAACTCGGTAGTACTGAGAGATGGATCTGGGAAAATTTCGATTAAAAGCTGAATCAATTAAAAACTCTTAGTTGACAGTACCATCGCAGCTGGTTTATTTATTTTTGGTTGGTGGGTGATTTAATCATTAGACTTGGGCACAATAATTTTATGGATTTTTAAACAATTTTGTTTTCTCACAGTACAATATTTAGAAAAGAAATTTTTTCTTCTGGCAGATGAGTACAAAATACTTTTAGATATTAAAATTCATGGTAACGTATTTGAATACTTTGGCCCTAGTTTTTTTTTTTAATTGTTTTTTCTTTCAAACTGTAACGCATTGTTTTGGCTGGAAAATATTTAAATCAAGCACTGTATGATAGAAAGTAGTAATTAAAAAATAACAATTTGTTTGGCATGAACAATGCGTTAAACTTTCCGACACTTCTGCGATGCATCGTACAAAAAATAGAAACTTCAACTACACGCGTGTTACGTTAACCCACACTCGATTTTACAATGTATACCTACAAATGCACAACTAGCCTCGATGCTCGCGAAGCGCGGAGAAAGTAAAAATAATTCGTTGCTTCGCACAGCTTTGCAAACCACCTGAAACAAAACTATTTTTGTTGAAAACAGTCAAAAACAATTCAATTTTCGATATTTCCCGCCACTATCCTTTTATTGTTCCTCGCACTCATGGTCGTTGCAATGCACAATACACTTGCTCCCCGAGTAGAGTCGATGCGATCGATCGACTACTTGATTATGCACACAGCACCAAAGCTCAACAGGCGTGCATAATAATCTTTGAGGAACCAGTCAAGCCGGAATCGATGGACGAGCCATCCTTTCGAATAATCCGTAGTGGCGAGCACAGTTTGGGGCTCACCAAATTACACCATATGCACATGATAGGTGTATACTTGGCTTTCCAAAAATCCTAGCTCTTGTCTGACAAAACACCGAAAGTTACCGTTTGGTGCCAACTTGCAAAACAACCGCTTGGAATTACAATCGAAAAAATAAAGAATTCAAGGTGAGAAATTCGTGCTAATCAAGATATTTTCTTCTTCTTCTCGCATCCTTCTGGCATAGGGACTGCAGAAGCGCTGGCGCGAAAGGCCTGATACATACATTTGTGCGAGCAAACCAATTTTGAGCGATTGTTTTTTGTTTTCTTTTTCATCTGACGCTCGAGAATAAGAGTCATCGGAACAGTGCCCTTCGGATAGTCAAGTATATTGTACGAGCAGATTTTAATTCGCACTCGAGCTGCAACTACAGAAGCAGAAAAAAAAAAGAAGATAAATATAAAAATAGCTACAGTTGGTGTGTATTGTATGTACACAAGAGGTGAAAAAATATAAATGAGCAGTAAGGTATACTCGAGTGTGTGCAAGCCGGTGAAAGGAAAGAGCCTTCGGAGAGAGAAGAGCTTTCCCTGCCTAAGGCCAAGCACCTTCCATCAGGAGGAGATCGAAACACGTACAGGTTGTGCATGTACCAGCTCCATCGGTTGACCGCGAATCGGTACATCCTGCACCATCTGTTGGTTACTCGCTGGATCTCCAATTGCCGATCCCGAAGAACGATTTTAACGATCGAGATCCCCCGCTCGGTCGGGTTATCCTGTTCTCTGCTTATATTTTGCTCTTTTTTTATTTGCTTTGTCAATTTACTCTTATTCAATTCTCAAATATTGCCTTGGGAGTACTTTGTACAAATATACCCTAAAGGGTCTGATTCAGACGCCTCGATTGCTCAAGCTCGCATTTTTTTCCTCTTCTTCCTTGATGTTCCTTTTCAGCATTTTAGGTTTCCTTGAAGCAAGTAAATCAATCGAAATGTTAGTTGTAAAAAAAAATATTTATAGCATATTATTATACGTATTATTCCTGACCAAAGCTCGCCTCCTCGATTCGGATCGTTTGAATTTAGCACGCATTTAACACGTAAAACGATAACATAACACTACAAAAAAAAAAAAAAAAAAAAAAAGAGCCGACCGACCGATTTTTCACGAGCCAGTTCCAAGTGGCAATGCACGCGAAACGAACGAGCAAAGAAGGACGTGGGCGAAGGCTAAGGTTCAGGGCGCTCTGTCTGCCTTTGTTCCTTTTCCCGCGGTTGTTACGCCCAATTTGGAAATCCACGAATGTTTAAAATTACACCTTGGAATATTCTCGTTGTCGTCGGGGCTCATTCATTTTCCTTTCACCCTTTTTCTTTTCATACTCACGGCGAGGTTGATTGCCTTTTTTTCGATCACCCGAGCTTTGATTTTAGCTCCAAACGTGGCTTGCCCAGTAGTCACAGCCCAATATGGTAAGACGAGGGTATTCATATTTCAGCTATAATTTTTTTTTTTTTTTTTTTTCTTCTAATTGCCTTTCCCTTGTACGCTTGAAATGACACAGACGACAGGTCAGGATCGCTGTGCACCCACCCGTTACT